TGGCACGTCACCGTCCGTGACAGCGCTGACAGATCCCGGTAAAACACACTAATTAGATCCTGCCTCAAATTTCACTCTCACCGTACAGTGCGCCGTATTACAGATGTCCGGTCCATTTACAGATGTCCCTGCTCCGGCGACACAACCACCAGCGAAGGGAGACGCTGCAGCCAGCTGGTACTCGGCTAAAAATGCCCGCAACACACTATTATGAGTAGCTATCGTGGGATCACACTCACCTAATATCACCGCTGCTTTGCCTAGGCGGGGGTGCAAGTCAAATGAAATCGAAAGGTTGGTCGCTCTTCTGTGAGTGAGGGGAGAGAAATTGTAGCAGGTGTGATGTGGATTTCTTTGTAACACTTGCCTTGCTGTGGTGGATAGTTATGAAGATGGTTTCTGCATTAGAGTATTCAAAATAATGATGCTACAAGGCACTACCTGCACAGTGAATAATTAGTAACTTCAAACCACGTTAACCTCGGTTTACGATATACAGAGGTCTACCAACAAATTTTATCTTCCATGCGGGATGCAAGTAGGTGCACATAACCACATTTTACTGTTTTTGATGGCGGTTATCAAGGGCAATATCATACAAGCGCGTTATAGCCATGTCACTAGCAGATTTTGTGACATGATACAAACGAAACTAAAGCGATGTCGGAGACAAGACTGCTCGGGTTATACACTACATCTCGAAATCAGGCATCACCACCAGCCAGACTTACATGTCGGAGGCTAAAATTACTAGCTGTAATATTTTTTAGTAAAACGTTAGGCTTTGTGTGGGGTCTGCATGCATCCAGGTGCATACGAGACAGCTGGAGCTCAGCTGATATCAATACTTTGCCGAATTTTTCGCCCTGCAGTATGTGCGGTAATATGTCTTCACGTCCGTGAAAAAAAAAATCGGCGCAGTTATACTTTCTGTCTGTGAGTTCTGCATGGCAATAGGCCTAAATCTAGATATCAGGGTCCATTAGCTACTATCCTCACTATTCAGATCGTTCATCTTTGCCAGTTCCTACCTACCTACAACTAGCCACTTTTGTCCAGCCAATTTCTAGAGGTGCCAGCTCTGGCTTTCAGCGGGCCGCCAGCTTCTGTTGCGAGCTACATAGATGTGCACTTCGCTCGCAACTTCGCTGTTTACTATATTCAGACTCCAGCAATTCAACAGGGCTAGTCTCCACATAGCCGAAATCTAGCTTGAGGTGAACACCAGTCTCCAGTTAGTCATTCCTCGCGATCCCCAGCCAGCCGCCGAGCATGTGACCGGTTAGCGCATTGGCGGGGATCGTCGACTCAGAGCGGGGAAGGCCGGGTCTGCTGGCGACAGATGCCGGCTGATCCGTGGACCGGCTGGGGTGACACGGGCCGGCACAGAGCTGCCGGAGCCCCGGCCGGGCTGCCGACAGCCGGATCACGCCCCCCCCCCCCTCCCTCCCCCCGAACCGCCCGGCTATACCAGACCCGACCGCCGGCCATTGGACTAAGTGGACTTATACATGGAGTGATGCCTGCGCCGGCGGCCCGCCCGCTAAGCAGTCTCCATCACCGCCTCGCGGGTAAATATCCTGACGGCCCACTGTCGTAGATCCGTCAAAACCCGGTGTGCTCTAATGCGCTTAGCATCGGCCCGGTCCTAGTCCGTCGCCGCGCCGAGCTGGCGACGACACTAGCGCCACCGGTTGAACAGCGGCGAACCCCTAAAACACTGTCACATTGGCCGCAGACGGAGCGGCGACAAAAACGACGCTGCGGAGTCGTATCTGGTCGGCCGGCTGGCGGCTCTCTTCAGGCGGCTTAGCGGCAACAAAAGTCATCCGTCGAGACGCGACGCAACATGACGGCCGGACAAATATCTCTGTATATTTGAATAATGAGCATGTCCGCGACGCGCCCGACCAAGATTACACGCGCTTAGTATTTTTCGGCTGTCGTTTCGCCAGTGTTTGGCGCTTGTCTCGTGGTGCATCGGCAGATGGCGGCGACTGATGCCGCTACGCTCGTAACTCGATACCGGGCACGTGCTTCAGAGGTGCGACAGAGCCGGCCGGCCGGCCGCGGTGGTGCGGCAGTGCGCGTAACGGTTAGGTGTGCGACGCCGACGGTCTTTGAGGCGTGCTCGGGCGACGCGGTGGGTCCACAGATACGACTTTGAGACGTGGTACGTGCAACTGTGATGGTTGCGGAGATAGCAGAAGATCTGACCTCAGACGTGATTACGATATGAAGATAACTCGTGGGGCAGCTCAAGAGCATCTTGCCCAGCAAAACCGCCATCAGAAGTAAGTTTATGCCCATGGACGAATAGAGCAAGGTTTTCAATACAGGTCAACGGCCAATCTGAATTTCAAATTCAACGATTTCAAGAAGCATGCAGTTTCAGAGTGCAACAACAATAGGGCCAATATGTAGATCAGTCGTATTTCGAGCTCAGATCACTGAGCACTAAAGTTACGTCAGTCCTTATATCATGATATGCGAAACAACAACAATCCTCCGTTTTTATTAGCCCCATCGAGCTCTCCGAGTTCAACGCTCCCTAGTACGTGGACCTGTTGCCGTTTCGGTGTTCCTCCGGATCCTGTGCGGTCTCCATCGGCGCAGCGGCGTTCCGTGTCGGTCGGTATCGTATCAGAGCGCGGCCGCCGCGCGTCTCGCCGCCTAATGAAGCCGCTATCACACCACCATCGCCGCGTCCGCGCCGAGTGGACAGGCCCCGATAAAATGCGCGTGCTCACTGCCGACCGGCGGGACGTCATATTTCTCATAATTTGCCTTATTAGATACATCAAAGAGACGGCCGATGGTCAGGCTCGATGATTCAAATCGCGCCGAAGGCTGTGATTGGATCTGAATCGGAGCGAAGAGACCAGATCGGGATGAGCATCCGAAAGCAAAGTTGGGTACTGATACAGCATTGCACTCGGCGTCTGTTATCCCGGTATGAGGGAGAGGTGGTGGATGTGTTTCTTCACAATAACGAAAAGTAACGTAACGAAGAAGCAAAACCTTTTGCAGGTCTCTTTAGAAACGTATTGCACCTGACTGACTGAAAAATTGGGATGTCGTTGAAACTTCCATTTAATGTCAGGATAGCGTAGGTAATGTACCATTTTAGCGCTGATGACAGTCATGCACGAAGTATTTCAGAACTTACTGCATTGTGGCATTTTGACTAACTTGATGACTGTTAAGCTTCACAATACATCGACCCTTCACACCGCAACGCAACAAAACGAACACCATATTTTTCAGTTTTGGCTGAGCTGCGAATGTTCTCCGTCATCTGATCAAGATAGCTCATCTAACCCAGTTCACCTAATCAATCAGCCTTGAACTTTCGAACCCGAGCCAGCCAGGCACCGAAATCAATACGGTCTGTGTGAACTAACTATTGAAACACGCCAAAGAGTGCCGGAGGATTGTGATGGCCTAGAAACAAATTTCACTTCTTCATGACTAAAGGCAGAATTAAGCAGCTGCGAGCATATCCGGCGTTGTTTACGATGCATGAATGTGAGGCATGGCGGTTTTCAAGAGGAGACTGCAACGCTGGCGCGCGGTCTAACGTAGATGTCTTGCGGCACAGCCTACCAACCAGTGGCGAAAATCGATGCGTCAGAAGCATAGGTATCCCGATGGCACGTCAGAACTGCTATATGTCATGCATCTACAACGAATAAATAAAAAGTATATTATCGGACTGATGGCAAATATTGTTTCTTATATTTGAACAACCCTTCCTGCATTGCACATTCGCAAGCAACTCTATGGAAGTACATTAACATTAATACAAATCGAAACTACATAAAGCTAACGCTCAATGTAAAATTGGCCAGCAATTCTGCATCGGCTGTTGCCAGCTGTCATCTACCTCGTGGCTGAGGTCATGACCTCCAATGCTCGCCTATGACCTCTGAGCCGGCGTGCCCCGCGTAAGTGGTCGTGTCTGCCCCCCCCCCCCCGACCCCCCCCCCCCCCGACCCCGCGATGCTCACGTCTGTCGGTCGTCACATGTAACGCCCGACACTTGATCTGACTGCGTGCCGCCGCGCCGGTCTGGTCGAAATGATCGGACCTACAGATACTGCCGCCAGACACAGAGAGCCTCAGGCAGCTGTCATAAAACTAAACTAATTATAATACAGTGGACACTTGATGTCTATGCTGGCTTATGTGTAGCTGGAGTTATAAGTATGTTTATTGCATGTGTTGGTATGGATTCGTAGTGTATAACTGTCCTGTATGTTGTTGTCTCAGTAAGGTAAATCCTCTGTTTTGAGTGGATTATAAGTTATGAAACATCCCGTGATAAACACCTTACATGCACTTATCAGAGGACTGAGACACCCGTCCGAAACACGACTGAAACATCCATCAGTCATGTCTAGATATGTCATGAGGACGGATAGGAATGGGGAAGACAGGCACCTAAACAATCAGAAAACGCCAACAGTCAGCAAAGGCTTAAACCAGTTCGCAGAACTTGGAGGCGGGGAACGGCAAATAACAAGAAAGCTCATTAAAATGTCAGTTTATTCACTCATGCAGGTCTTTACACAAAAGCCCGGTCTTTGTAGGATTAGGTGACATTTTCATGGTTACTTTAAACCCAGCCCATACGATTTCTGCCAGGAGCCAGCCGGCTCAAGTGAGGCTTATTGAGCCAGCCCTAATCTCGATGTCACGAACTACATGGACATGTGTATTCCAGTCCCATCGCAAGTTTTATAATGCATCATGCATACAACCAGTGCCGTGTCTTGTGACCCTACACATCCGTCATTAAATATCCAGGATGTGTATACTCGTACTGTTGTCGGACTATGCAAACTGAATAGATAGGACTGACCAGTAACCAATTTCCAGCGAGGGGTAGTGATCAGCCATATTGTATCGCTATTCCATATGCTTTTGTCCACCCGATCTAACCCAGCCTGACCTGACCTGACCCGACCTGCCCTGACCGGTGTGTGTCTTTGTTCCAGGGAGCCGAGGTCGCCTCCCCAGCCGGCTCGACTCCCATGCCACACAAGGGTGAGAAATGACGAACGCTACCCCAAAGCCGCGGCCACTCCGGATCACCCGTTCGGCGAAGCCCACAGCGGGAAACGTTCCCCAAAGTGGCTCTCTTACGACGACTTAGCCGGACTAAGAGCATTTGCTGATAACGTTACATTGCATGTCTGACTCCAACTGTGTGAGGACGATGAATTATGTCTCGTTAATGCATACTTGCGGGGAATTAAGTGTCGCTGTTGCGGTCCATGGCTGGGAGGTGTCCAGTTAGAAGTGCGGGCAATTTGGAGTTGTTGAGGCAGAAGGAGGCGGGAAAGGATGCGTTGGACATATTCGCTGGTAACTGTCTCGGCTACCCGTAAAAATAAAATCAACAGAGTACTTATAAAGCGATTATTACGTTTGCAATGCAATACTAACGGCCAACGGGTATCTAGGAATTGGCCAATTATGTACTGTCACGTGCATGACGTGAGTTCGCCCCACCTTATCTTCTTTTTTACACTGATGTTCAGCTATTAAGCAGACAGGGTAATGATCCTTGATACGTGCCTCAGCTTTCACCATCTATGTATACTCCACACACCTCCCTTCCCCTCACCATTGACTGACGATCCCTCCCCTTCTCTTTGTGCCCGGCAGAGGAGCCGGGCCTGACCACTGTGTCCCGTGTCATGTCAGGTCACAGCGGGGTCAACCAGCTGGGGGGCGTCTATGTCAACGGCCGCCCCCTGCCCGACTCGACCCGACAGAAGATCGTCGAGCTCGCACACTCCGGTGCCCGGCCCTGTGACATTTCACGCATTCTCCAGGTCTCCAATGGCTGTGTCTCGAAAATTCTCGGCAGGTAAGACTTGCTTTCAGTACAGGCACGAGTGGTTTGGTAATGAACGAACGTGAATAATCCATGCTGCATTCCTTGGCTTCATTCACTTTAAAGAAATGGGAAGGGTCAATGCAACATATTCGATAGAAAAGGCGGAAAAGACCACTCACAATGAATCAACGTTATTGCTGGTAAAATGTTAAAATTTTGCACTTTGTGCCAATACAAAGCAATTTCAAAATTAGATTAAAGCATGGCGCTTGAGCGTTTTTATGGTTCTCCACAGAACATTCATCATTCAAATCATAACGAGCAGATCCGTAGCGTTCCCTGTGACCGCGACTTGACACAAAACACCGTCCGATTCGTCGCGACTTTCTTTTGTGCACGTGCGTCTGCCGGGCGTCAGTCGCCTTTGACCTCTGTCTGCACCTGGTGTCCAGCTGGGACCGATTCGACTGCTGCGCTCACAATTTTCCGCAGAGCGCGTTTCTTGTTAGCGCCGACGCTCGCTAATGAGGCTCCTTCCGAGGCAGCGCGCGGCCCTCGGGAACAAACTCCGTCTCCTTCCCAGCGTCGCGGCCGTCACCATTGACGCGAGGCGGTGAGCGCCGGTGTCCTCCCGGGAGGCCAGGAGCGGCAGTGGGTCGGACAGGGACCGAACGGAGACGGAAGGGGCGACAGCGGGCCGTAGGGGGGCGGTAGGGGTTCGGCCGGCGCCGAGCCAGGGTGCCCGTGGGGTTGTATGGGCGCCTCCCACGGGGCGGCAGCGCGAGGAGATCTGAATCATCCCCCGCGGTGCCGACAGCGAGAACAGGAGCTCCGAACCCGCACCGAGGCGGCCTCCCGCGGACTAATTGCAGATTCGCTTTCAATGATTATAACTGGCCGGCGGGCAGGGCTGGGAGCGCGACCACGGCCCGTCGAGAGGCGCTGATCGCGACAGCTGGGGTCACCGAACCACCACTTATCGGTGGCACCTGCCGGCCACCCGCGGATACGCTCCCTTCGCGACATCTCAGCTGCTCTGCATGACACGCCCTTCAGACGTCGAGGGCATAGTGATACGCTCTCCAGAAACGGCGGGAGTTCTGGGTGGCAATGATCGGCTCTCCAGACCCGAGCGGTGACTGAAATGAAGTAATGACATGCAAAGGCATTTTCTTTGTTGAAGAAGCCAAGCTGTCGGAAGGGATAGAAATGGTGATGACTGTCGTGACAAACCATGAAATGAATCCTATCTTTTCTCTGTTTGTCTAAAATATATAAATGAAATAAGACAAAAGTAGACCATCTCATATTCTTGCTTGCAGCTTTTTTCATATATAAAAATCATGGGAAAATTGGTTTTCCAGGCCGTCATCAAAGGTCATAAGAACATCGAAAACGACGCCGTTAAATAGGTACCTACGATATTTAAGCGCTGAATATGATTGACAAATTGTCCGGCAAACATGCCGTATGGAGCACTGCCGGCTTGAATACGCTGTTAAGAACCACTGCATGCGAAACAAGATGCTTATACTTTTGCTAATAGGGTACAAATTTCATATCTTGTGTCGCTAATCACTGCTCTTTCAATCCCAAGACTGTAGCTTGTATCACTGAGAAAGACTTAGCGCAGCAAAAGCAGACAATTCAATCAGGAGTAATCGGCCCCATTTGCAGCAACTCTCTGCAAATCTGTAGCAAGCTAATAACAGGTTTGCACACAGACCCTAGCAAACGATCGGAACATCATCTTTCAGACCACAAGAGAGCCCCAATCTGCTCAGAACGATCAATTGCGGTTAGCCTTGCCCACAAGCCTCCCACTTTGTCATCCTCAGTACAAATTCCTTCATCTGGCAGCCGAGTCCCAGCAGCATTCAGGAAGGTACCAGTCGGCATTGTTTACTGTTTACCTGTGGGATCTTCTTCCTGTGACCTTGAGGCTCCGGGGTCTTTGTGCCTCATCCGACCCTCATTCAAGGCCCTGCGCATTCAGCGCCCCAGGAATGCACACGTATTCGCCGAGTCTGAACAGCCGCACACCGTGACCAAATCGACGAGATGCTTGTGCCGATGGTACGGCATATCACTGGTCTGTCAGAGGGGAGGCTACTGCCACGTCTCAAGTGGGAGACATCCTTCTCCTGTTTCGAAGATACAGGGTTGGGCAGATAAATTGGGACAAATTTCAACTTCCTCTAAAACGACTATTTTTTGAGTGATTAAGATAATTTTTTATCGTAAATATAGGCTAATGAATACTTTTCCATGTTATGCAGGTTGCGTTGTAATTTTGAATCGGCTGATCATAGAACGTGGGCATAAGCAAGTCACTATCAACTTAGTCCGCGCCCACATGCATGCCAATACTCTAATTATGCTCCATCAAATGGCTGAAAGTAGTGTGTATCGAACAGACGTAAACGTTGGAGGAAGAGAAGATGTTGACTCATCCTTACATACTTATTGCATTGACACCGGCCGCTCCCCCGGTTTTCCAGGGGGGCTAAAAGGCAAAATTCAGTTAAATCAGAGGATCCTCGCGAAAACAGTGGCGCGAGCTTACAACGAAGGTAGCCGCGCTATGAGACAGCGATATACCAGCACCTCAAACATGTACTCTTATGCATTGATGCATATCGACCTGTTAACATAGATGTTGAAGCAGCTGTGACGTTAAAAAAGATTGTTTCCTATTGAAGGGCTTGGAGAAGCGAGCAAGCACGTGCAGGTCTTTTTCGACGATGGTATCCCCATAACCGAACATATGGAGAACCGCAAACACCATGAAACATCTCAACCAGCCCAGAAAACGTGATCTTAGTTCCAAAAAGCATGCAGCAGACCTCGGTGATGGCATTCCACTCGGTGACTTCTGGCGGCCACGTGGGGCCCCCTTATTTTACGGAATCGGGAGGGGGTTCGCCCTTACAGCGTACCTAACCATTATTCCGGCAGTTCGAATCAACAAGATGGAAGAAGGCATCATCCTGCATGGAGTGATGCTCTTCCAGGAGTCAGCTCCCCGGCATACAGTAAATTAAATACAAAATCTCCTGAAACGGAGGATCCCGGAAACTGTACCCAAGGCTAAATGGCCCCTCCCTCATTAAACCTCAGCCCACACAAGTTCTGGTTGCTGGGGCGTTTTTGCGGCCGAGTCTAACGAACGTCCCCATGTGACTGTAGTGAGCCTCAGCAGTGCCAGTTGGCTACAATTACGAGCCATTTCAGACGGGAGATCTCGCCGCGCGTGCGGCCAGTCCAGGCACCGACAAGGACTGATGCAGGTGGACCACAGTGATCATATTTGGTGATAAATGTGTAAAATTGGTGTGACAATATGTGATCCAAATTTGAAATGCCTACGTTTACAAATTTCTAAGCTACGACGTTCTGAATGCAAATATGTATTTTGTCCCAATTTATCTGCCCAACCCTGTATGTAGAGGGAGAAGGAGAGAAGGATAGCTGTCTGAGATTAAAAGGGTGTTAGGATTTTTTTGCGAGAAATGAGCAAGTAAATAAGCGGTGTCACTGTAATTCATAATGCATTCCTCACTGCAAAAGCGGCTCACAATATGCCGTTCTTCTTCAACACATGGAAGCTATTTTCTAACGGAATATATGTCGTCACAGGTACTACGAGACGGGCTCCATCAAGCCCCGTGCCATCGGCGGCTCCAAGCCCCGCGTGGCCACCCCTCTCGTGGTCAACAAGGTGGCCGAGTACAAGCGCGAGTGTCCCAGCATCTTCGCGTGGGAGATCCGTGACCGGCTACTGTCCGAGGGAGTGTGTTCCAACGACACCATACCCAGCGTGAGTACCTGACATACCCATAATACCCACCATACCACTACCAGCTACACGTTATCAACTTAGCATGTACCCGGTGTTAGATCCATCACACATATACCCGCAATGCTAGTTACGCACTCTACATAGTCCCTAATCCGACGTGATCTAGATCATTCACATCACACAAACCATCGCCTATGCCAAACCATCACACCGCTCAATCATTTTACCTCGCGCCTGCTTTCGGAAATAACTTCGGCCGTGACTGCGGCGAGATCAGTGCACGGTGCATGTGCGACCAAGAGCAAGGAAGCGTGCATGTCAGCGCCGTGGGTGGTCGCCGCGCAGACTCCACTCTGCGCCTCTGCAAACAGCCACACTCGCCGCTCCGTTCCGACCACGGGCCGGGCTTATACGGTGTCCGTCAGACCAGACAGACATACAAACATACATATAGACAGACATAGATGGCTACATTGAGCGCTGCGTGTGCGTGTCCGGCTGCAAAACTGCACGACATCTACAACTACATGGCACTGAGCAAAAACTTAGCGGTGTTACATGAATGCTGCGGCACGATATACGGCGGTGACGCATCCAGCAGACTTTTGCCTGGTCTTTTATGCTGCTGGGGAACCTATCAGGAACGCATGGTCCATTGGCGGCCATGATTGGGAGAGAATTTTATGAGCAGGGACACAAAATGGCGGCTGATTAAGGCAGTTTCTTAGAGAAGGTGATACCACTTGATTAAAGGATTAGGCGCGTTTTTCATTGGAATGTGCACGAAATTGGCTGACGAACTCGTCGCTAGCCTGACGCGTATTGCGTGATTCATTAAGGCAGGTTTGATTGTAAGCGATTCTGTCGCAAGCAAAATATATTTGCTGATCACATCTTATATTTAAGACAGCTGTAGCGAAAATAATGATTAAATACAGCCTCAAAATATCATCAGGAGCTGCAGGCATAGCAATGGACTAACGAGTACCAGCTGTTTTCATGATGAACATCTGGTACACATTTAGTGCAGATTAGGTGCAAATAAGGTGCAAGTTAAGTACAGATTTGGTGCAAATTTGTTCAAATTATGCTAATTGTATTTCTTAAAATTTATCAGTCTGGGTTGCACAGATGTTTTATACCTCATTTTCCAAACCATCAGACATTATTTCCACTTAAAACAATGAAATAATTCATGATATGAACATATTTCCTGTTAAAGAGATTTTGTGCGGCTTTGGTCAAATTAGGTGCATTCGCCCAGATAGTTCGCCGTGAAAACGGCTATTTTCAACTAAAACCCTTGTATTAGAAGGAGACTTTACGCCTATGCTCTCTTCACACCTACAAACATATTGGTTCCAGCTCCTACGTCGCTTACGCACAATCTCCAGAAGATCTAGCAATTAGTAACCTCATTGTGTCTATTAACACAGATTGGGTTGCAATTTCGTGTCCGTACAACACCCAGCTGGCAGCGCTGCAGCCGTTCTCGGAGACAACAGGAAGTTGTTGGATGTGTCTGAGTGGGGCGACGTCCGTCTATCGGGTGATCGGCATCGTGTAACGATCACCTCAGAGGTGTGAGAAACGGGCAACCGCAGCGACCACCAGTCCAGTGTGCAAGGCATATCCGCAATGTACGGGGCTAGCCTGACTAGTTTTTATGTGCTTAAATGACGGAGTTAGGTTTTGTAGACTCGGATGCAATGTTGTAAATCGATTAATTTATTCGAAGTTGTGAGTGATGCCAAGATTTTGTTTTGAATTTAGAAGTATGGTTTTGGGCTAATTGCCTTGGAAATGTTTTCGGAATATTTGTATTTCTGCATTTGTGTTTACCCATCAATAAAGTGCAAATTTCAACGCAAAATTATATTTACAGATTTTGATAGCTCGCATGGATACCTAGCTTATGTACTTACCTAATAGCCTGACGTAACTTGAAGCAAGCATGTAACTCTTAGTTACGGAAGATGCACCGTCAGCTATGTAGAAAACTAGTACAGCGGAACTTGGCGAAACACTCATTACTATACAATACCGGTTATAAGGTATTGCACAATAAAACACCTGTTACACTTATTACACTTCATTTGCGCCGTATTTGTGGCTCATTTGGCAGCGTGCTGCGCCGAAGGGATCGGTGTTGGACCTCGTCTCTGGTGGCCGGGCGGTCGATCCGGCTCGTTTTGCATTGTTGTGTCAGACCGTCAGCTTGTAACGGAGCAGGATCACGGCGCCGGCAACGGGCTATACCGCCGCTGCAACGACGCCAACACCTTTTGTTTCCGCCCTTATCGTGTCGGGGATCTAGCCGCAGCTGCCGGTACGAGTGAGCCAGAAGTCGACGGGCCCTGGCACGATCAGTGGCTCGAATTACCGAGACCAGGAGAGCGACGAGAAAAATGGCGAAAAATTGACGTGCTCGCTCACCGCAACTGACATAAGCCATCACTCGAAGCATGAGCCACTCGGAAACTTGTTCAGGAACGCGTGAGAGCGTGAAAGGTGGAGGAGCAAAGTGGCACGCCCGTTCGTGGAGGCACTGAAATCACCCACCGCGCCGCCTCGAGACGTGTCCGAGGGAGCTGACCGCTGCGGCGACAAAGACCACGAGAAGTTGTACACGTGTTGCGACATTTATCACTTTCATTGTGAGCTGCCGTTTTGATTAAACTGCGGTCCAATTACATTTGGCTTTGTGTGTGAGAGAGATGTCATCGTGACTCATAGGCTTTGGGATTAGCCGCGTCAATCACGCGATTTTAAGTAGCCACCGCTAGCAGAGCCGAATTACCGTGAATTAGAGCAGTTCCAGTCAAAGCTCTTCCGTTTCCTTTATTCAAAACGCAAGAGTATGTCTCCCATCTGCTCCGCAATAACGACTTTGCAGTTAGTGAAACAGCTGCTGTTGAGCTGCCTCATATCTATTGCTTATGCATTATGCAATACAGTCTCAGCTTCCATGAAGAGCACATTTCTGTTGTTATACCAAGCTCTGAAGGTTAGGTAAATAGACCTCTCGTCTTGGTGCTCGAGCAAATTGCGACGTAAGATGTCACGTGATCTTGATAGAGCAAGAGAAACATTTGTCTAAAGATTATGGGCTGCTGTTGGACTCATTTGCACTCCAAGACTAGCCTCCAAAAACCAAACGGTAGGCATGGCAGTGCTGAAACAAAGCGGTACCTACTCGTAGCTCAAATTACCTGTCTCAGAGGGCCATTTTGAGATTGGAGGTGTTCTACCGACACTGACTTATACAACACAAATTGACCTCACTCATGACATCACCAACTCCAGTTATTTTGCATGGCTGCCAACTAGACATATGTAACGCAAGGGGCTTGAAAGTAGAAAATGATTTGAAACAATAGAATTTCATGTTGGTATGTCGGTGTTGGGTTGCTGCTGTTCCACCAACATTGGCGGAAGGCCCGAACTGGTTCTTCGTGCTTACTGTTGATCCGTTTAGCGACTTTGATTTACGGTGGGAGTTCAGACGCAACGCTTGAAATTCGGCATGTCACTCGTATCCGAGCCCTTGGCGCCGCCTCTAGTTAACAGCTAAACAGCATTGGTTCATACCTAAAAAACACTTCATTTTTTCTCAAATGTACATACATATCTTTTACAAAGTCAACAAGAAGCTAAGCTCTGTCATTAGCTCCATATAAAGTGCCGCCATTTTGTAACGGTTTGCATGCTTCTAGTCACTTCTAGCGTGCTTAAATTCGTCTTTTCTTTATGTAAGCCGCTAACAATATCCTTAAAAAAATGGCTTTTATTCGATTATCTTAAAGTCGTCTGTTCTTACTATACCCGTAACTTGGATGCTGCAGGTGCAAAGAAGACCACCCTGCGATAGATTTTCTAGCGGTTCCTGATTCGAGCGAAACGTGCAGATAGATTGCATATCAATTTCGACCTCAGCCATTAACTGATTCAATTTACAGGTATGCATTTGGTATCATTAGTCTCATCAAATGACGGCAGTATGTTAGTTTCTTTGTAACTATTAGCTTACTGAAAAGCAAATTTGTTTCACGGAATCTACTGATTGCTTGACTTTTGGGGGGCTAATTTTGCTTGGTTTCAGACATTTTCTGCAATAGCTCCATACAGCAATAACCCAATATCATTGGGCTCGCGGCTTGGCCTACCAATCATCGCCACAACTTGTGTCGAGTCAAGCCATGTGACCCAGTCGGGTCCACCGTCGTGACGTATTGGGTCTGATCAGTATTGTAATCAATATCGGGCGGGCGTGAGCCACTAAATCAAACACCACTCTAACTCAGACACATCCTTGTCGTCGCTTCCGCTCGCTTGGTTTCTCTGTATTGGACCGGGCTAACGCAGGCCATCAGCAAGCCTCACTTCACCTCATTGCGTCAGGGTGGAGGACAGGCATGCGACAGAGCCAGCTGGTGGGCAGTGTAGTGTGTCAATCTTACCGCTGTAGACGTTGGATGGTGGATGGTGGACGGTGGACGTTGGATGGTGGACGGTGGATGATGGACGGTGGACGGTGGATGATGGATGGTGGATGGTGGACGGTGGATGGTGGAGGATGGACAGTGTGAGTGGACGGTTGACTGTGAACGGTAGACGGTGATCGGTGGACGGTGGACGACGGACGGTGGACACTGGACTTCTCACAGTGAACTGCGGGCAGTAGTCAGCCGCCAGCCGCCAGGCGGCGGACGAAGGCGTCTCGGTTCGACCGGCCCGTTTTCTGTCCGTTTCTGGTCCAGTGGTTTGTCAGTATGCGTTAGGCCGGAGACCACCGAACAGCAGACAGCGGGCCTGTATCTATCAGAACTATCCCACCGCTGCCCCCGAGTCCTGGATCAAAGATCAGCGTCTCCACTCTCCCCGTATCGCTCTCCGCTCTTTCCATCTCTCCCTCTCTCTCTCTCTCTCTCTCTCTCTCTCTCTCTCTCTCTCTGTCTCTCTGTCTCTCTCTCTCTGTCTCTCTCTGTCTCTCTGTTTCTCTCTCTCTCTCTCTCTCT